AAGTAGTGGCAATACTTTTAGTCCACCATATCTGTTAAAAAGTTAGCTTATTACTCATTTAGCTGTCAATTGTTGAAAAGTGTGGTTGGAGTTAGTTCAAAATTTAGTCCAATTATTCATTTTTGGAAAACTTTTTGCAAGTTTTTTGAGTTTAGTACTATCAAAATGTAAGTATTGGTTAATAATTTAATTAGTTATGGTTAATAATTTATTATTTTTGCTAATTTTAATACATAAATTCTGATTCATAACCATTCTCAACTCTAATTGATTTTTTTTAGTATGGGAAAGTCTTCAGACTTTCCCATACTAAAACCAAGAAAATGTAGGGAAGTAAAAACCCAAGAAAATGTAGGGAAGTAAAAACCTTAATTCTTCCCAGAGAAAAATAGCAGCAATTACAAGTGTTTCAAAGTCAGTAGTAAATTGAATCAAAAGAAAAACTTATACAAATGCGCCCCCAGAACCAGACCGCGCCAGCAGAAGTGGTAGAAAAAAGATCACTTCTCCCTATTGTGACCATAAAATCAAGGACATCTGTCTTAAAAACAGAAAAAAAAAAGTGTGGCTTTACTAACTATAATGATAAACAATAAGGGAATCAAATTCTCCAAAAAGACGGCTTGGAGACGGTTGGCTGAAGAGAATTTAATGGGTCGACATCCAATTAAAAAACCATGTTTCAGTCATGAAAAAAAAGCAACTGGAATACTCTAGCTAAAAAAAGGTGTGCACATTTTACCTTGGCCGAGGAATTCACATGACATCTGGAAAATTGCTAAAGAAATCACCACTACCAAACAGCAATTGATAGAAACCCTTAGTAGAGAGTGGCATAATAAACCCAGTTTTCAGGACATTGCAAAAGTCTGCATAGAAAGCATGCCCCAACGCCTAATGTAGCAAAGGATTGCATTACAAAATATTACGATTATTACCTTATTTGTTATTTAAAAACTTTTTATTTTATTAAACTTTTTTTAATTTGTTTTATATCCTAAACGAGGCCCTCTAATGATAAAGATAATAAAAAATAACTACAAGATACCTATTTATTCATTTAAGTAGTTTACACCTAAAATTTAGTAAAAAGGTAGTGTCACTAATAATTTGGCCACTTACTGTGTATATATATATATATATATATATATATATATATATATATATATATATATATATATATATATATATATATATATATATATATATATATATATATAGATATATATATATATATATATATATATATAGATATATATATATGTATATATATATACATATATATATATATATATATATATATATATATACATATATATATATATATATATATATATATATATATATATATATATATATATATATATATATATATATATACGTAGAAAATTCAGCAATTTCAGCCCTGGCAAACAAATACTAAGGGCTCGACTTTAAAAGTTCCATTTATCTTTGCAACATTTAAAAATAAAAAATTAAAAATTGAATTAAAAATTTGCATTTTTAATAAACTAATTTCTTATAATTTCTTAAATGAAATTATTACATAATATTATATTTGGTTTGGGAAATGATTTCTTTTATAGTGTTTTTTATTAGAATATTGTCCTCCTTTCTTAAAAGTTATTTAATAACTTTTTTTTACTAGCTTTAATTTAGTTAATGTCTATACAAAATAAAAAGAAAAGTTAGTTTATTAACGTTATTATTATTAACTTATCATTTTATTATTTATTATCTATTTTATTTTCATTAGCGTCTGGAGCTTTCCAGTAAATAAAGATTCTTGTAATGAACAACTTTAATATAAAAAGTTTACAATTATTTTGATAATACATTGCGATTATAAACATTTTTTTTGATTAAATAAATGTTAAAAATCAGGGTCTTCTTCACTTGACGATGATGAATCATCTGATTCTAAATTTTCTCTAGGAAATATAATCAAACAGTTATCATTTGTTATGGATAAAAAAGACTTTAGGTCTAAGGGTGTTCCGAGTTTCTTTCCTTTCATTTTTCCTTTTCTTAAAATTGTTGTTAGAAGCATATCCGCTAATATGATGTTTTCTTGCTTTTATTTTTCTCTTATTAATAAAAATGTTCTGCCAATAACGACTTCATTGCACATTCGTATTCACATTTGAAAGTACCTTATCGTAATTTCTTAACTGCAGCAATGCCTCAATAATTTGATTGCATAATTTTTTTCTATTTTTACTTAAAATTCCAGGAAAAGAAGAAAAAACATGTTCAGCCTATAAAAAGTGTTAATGTATATTTTGCGTATATTAGTTACCTCGCTAAAATAATTACATTAGACTAAATTACCTCCACCTTTAAAATAAGTATTACACTGCATATCTATATAATAATCCACTAGTTGGAACACGCATACCCAACACTTGTTGGGTTTGCATGAGTATAGAAAATGTACATGCAAATAGGCAGTTTTGAGTTCCAAGGCTAAAAAAAAAAAATAGCTTAGTTACTGTGTAATTAAAATAAAATAGCAATAAAAAGAAAAAAAATCAGAACCTCAAAACAAATTTCATATACCTAGCCGATCTTCTCTAAAGTAGTTTTTATCTAACAGCGACTTGAATTATTGTACTAATATCATAGCAGTAGATATTAAATCTGCATAAATTCTACAATTATAAGATCGGTTATCACTTGCTGAATACACTGGATTATGAAGAAATTCTTCTGCGCCAAGCATAAATTTGTTTTTTTACATATTTGAGAAAAAGTGGCCAGGACTCCATTTAAACCCAATTCCAAGATACTTCCACATAGTGCATATTTGTCAAAAGTCATTAGTTCATTATTAATAAAGCGTTCCTTATCTTTAAAATTTGTTAAAATGTTTCTAAGCATTTTTTTGTTTGGAAAAGCAACATTTTTTTTTTCAGAAAATTTAAGATACAGAATGATTTTGCTATTTAGTGTAGGAAATAAATTTAATCGTCTTAATAAATTTTGTTTGGTTTTCATTTTAACTAAATCTTAGGCATGCCTCAATAACTGTAACTGTTTCTTGTTATAGAAAAGACGTTTTCTCAAATATAAGAGATAACGGAAGAGTATAACTAAAGATATGGCATCTTAACGCTTCACATACTAATAATTTTATATCTGATGCATCTTTTCGAATGCCTTCAATTAATGATTGATCTGAGGATTGTATGGATTTTCTACCTGTTCTTTAGCAAATATTAATGGAACCAGAAGGTTCCACAAATGACTTTCAATAGCAATCACCTGATGACTAACCACCTTATTCCATCTGTGCGTTTGTATCTTAATGATTTGTACCCAGTAAAGTCTGCCTAATGTTTAAACAGTCTCCACTTTAAAGTGACATTTTTCAACATCATATATTCTGATTGTGTGGATCTTTTCCAAGTTTCACATCACTAAACGCTTTTTTAAAGCAATCTCTAATTTGCGCACAAACACCAAATAAATAACAAGTGTTGACCAACTTGTATCTCCAATCTTACAAAGCTCTTATTGACAGGGGCCCTATCTGCACCAATGCCAATTAAACGGCGATTTCTCTGAAAAGAAAACAGACCACTGAAATTCTTTTTTTTTTCATCGTAAAGCATTTGTGTCAACTGGCTCTTGCAAAGAAAGTACACCATTTTGGCTGTTTCAACAAGTTTTTATCAGATATAGCTCTTTTTTATCACTTGTCTTTAAAGTAGAAGAACCGTCACATAAAATACTGAAGTATGTATGATTTAAGTTATTTAATGGATTAATAATGTTTTATGTAATAGAGTTTTTTCTAAAAAACACAGCCATTTCTCCACAGCTTTTATCACTTAAATAGGCATTCTTTTTATCATCACCGTTATTGTTTTTTTTCAAACTTGCATACTTGGTTATACATTTTAAATGATAGATTTTTTCTCATAAATGAGCAAGCTGAAACTTTCTCTGATTACTATTTAACTTTTTCAAATAGACTAAAATACTCTCCTTGGTAGATACTTTTACAGCATTTGTGGCCTTTTTGCCCTCAATCATTTCCATAACTTTGGTTGATTTTTTACTAGCTCACTCTTTAATATATCATCAATTTATTGAGGCCGATTTTGACACTGGTATACTAGTTTGGTGTCTAAATTTGATCCCAAACTATAGTACTTAATTATGGATGTAAATTTAGCATAAGTTCTTTGCACTATAAAAAGTAAAGAGAATTATATAAAATATAGTATAAAAAAGTTTATAGACCCACACCAGACTTACATGGATGTATAAGAAGCTTTTTTTAAAACAGTGTCCCTAAATAACTTCTGGATACATCAATGTATATATACATATATATATATACACACACACACACACACACACACACACACACACACACACAGGCATACATAATCCTAGGATTTTAAGATCAACAATTTGTACTAAATCCCTAGATTGCCATTCTTACTCTGGAAAGTAAATAAAAACAAATAAATTAAACCTATTTACTATATTATATTTAAATGGCTAATATTTTAACAATATTTATAGCTAAGATTATTGTAATTATATTATTTTATATAACAATTTTTTTTTTAATTCTTTATAAAATTTTAGGATTTATGAAATTAGTTTTAAAATTATGACATATAAAGGATGTATCAAATTGCATTTTGCAGTTTGATCATCAATTTTGAACGGTGATGGTAAAAAAAATATATATTAAAATTTAAATTTGCGTATCATTTAATTTAAACTAAAATAATGTTTTATGAATCATGTTTGATTAGTATGACAAAATAAAACTTATTCAAGATAATAACAATAAATAAATAATGAATTGAACTATTCAAGCTTATTCCAGCAGTGGTAAAAACTAATTTTTTAAAGTTCATAATGTATAACTAATTTTTTACAAAAAAAGCTCTTTAAAACGCTGAATAAATTTATTTTTTTCGAATAACAATTAAAATTTTTGAAATAACAACTTATTATTCAATTAAGCTAATACCTACTTCGTTGGAAATTTGTGAATTTCGTATTTCATTACTTTTAAATTTGTGCATAATTCCAACTGAGTTTATGTTTGATATTGTCATAGATCTCTGGTCACGACTTAATTGTGAGGGGCTATCCGGGTCCCTTGGAAAATATTTATTCCCCAGTAAATCACTTTCCGAAGTGGCCGCCATCTTTAACATCCTTTTTATGAATACAGTGAATTGTTGTTTTGTTTATTTAATATTTTGATTTGGTGTTCTATTTTATCCGTAAGACAAAATATTTTTATGCTGACTTGTTGGTTAGATAGCGTAGAGTGCTTTCTATTTTGCGGTTTATGGGTAAATTGTAAATTGCGAACATGTATAATACAAACCTTTTGCGAACTAAAAATATATACTTAAACTATCACGAATACTTTTATGACTCACCATATCGTTAAAAAAATATTGTCCAAATTTCATTATACTTTTTTAAGTATACTTGAGTCAGGGGTGTCAAAATATAACTTGGATAATAATATTGATTTTAGTGAGTTCTATATTAAAAATCTGTATGTAAACATGAGTGTGTTTTTTCATAAGTTAAAAAGCTAGGTAACTAATCTATTAACTAAAAAAAAGGTTTCAAAACTGACTAAGCAAATTGTTTTTTGGTTCAATTGCTTGATAAGCTAAACTTGACAAAAAAACTTAATTTAAGGGGGAAACTAATAACAAACTTACAAAAATTAGCGTTACTACAGACTATTGCTAGGGTGAAATCTTCTAATTAAAGTGAAAATCGCTCTTAGTATTTAGCCAGAATTATTTAAAAAAAAAAACATATAGCTTTTCAACCATAAATATTTTTGGTATATAAGATTAATTAAATTTTAATTATTTATTACTCTTTTAATTTTTCTGACATTTTCAGTCATTTCAGACTAATTCGCCAGCTAGATCTCGTGCCCCGACCCCTCTATCTCCGGTTTCGTCGGCTCTGATCATTAATGACTATATTTAAATTAAGAAAAACACAGTAAATAGAAACAGTAGGTGTATGCTTAAAACATTTTCGAAGAACTTATTGCATTCCTATTTTATCAACAGTCATGGTTGATCTGTCTGTGCGGACGGTAACTGAAATGACTGTTATTGTCATATTCCTGGCCTCTAACTTTCTTTAAGGTATTATTAAGTCCAGTGACTGTAACATCTTTAATAATGATAAATCCCAAAAGCGTCCTAATGACAATTACAATAATTGGTTTTTTATTAATCTTGCAACTTGTAATAAAAAACGCAATTTGAAGTAAAAAAAAAGTTAGTAAAAAAATATTAACAAACGAGTAATTTAATTTTGATTTATCTCTAGAGCTCTTATAAAATATGGACTTTGAATTTTTTGAAAAGGTACATGTAAGTAACTTATAAAACCACAAATCCAACATATTTTCAACGTGCCAATGCAGATGGTTTTTTGAAAGCAAATTACTGCTTAACTTAAATAGAAGTTATCTTATTTGGATCTAGTAATAAATGTTTAAAAATGAAAATTTCATTTACAACTGCAATAAATTTTTGAAAATATTTTGTATTGATTGTTTATTACAGAGATAGAAAATCGAATAAGATCCTTCGTTTCATTCATAAGCGTTTCTTTATGTGGAGAGAAAGGCTTAATTTTTTTAAGTTTTACGGGCGTCGTAAAACTCAATGAAAATTAAGCTTTTATCTCGACATATCATCATAGCTGTTTTTGGATCAATAAAGCGGTGTTTTGTGCTTTGCCATTGAATAAGCGGGTCTGTAAAGCATCAAGCTATAATTTCAAGCTACTTAATCTACTATTTAATAACAGAATTTCTTAAAAAAATTAAATTTTAATAAAGCTCATTGTTTGCTACAGTAGCTTTTCAAAAAACACTGCAATTCGTCGGATGGTTTTCATAGTGGTTTGATTTTGGCTGGCACTTAATGCTATCACAAAATGTACGATAGATACAAAGGCTTGACATGTAACTAACAATTTCATATAATAGATGCGAAAGGTTTATAGTACACGCACAAAAGAATATTGCTAAAGAATAGAAAAAATAATTTTCTGAAAATCTAAATTTTTCTTTATTTGGTTACATGTTAATTATGTGCCGCCACGTGCCTATTGTGCTTATTTGTATATTCAGGGCTGCATAATACTCTAATATGATGAAACTTTAATAACAAAAAGGTAAAAAAAATTGTTTTAGTCGATTAACTAAAAAATAAATTTATTTTATTATTTGTATAGCAATTAACTTTGTATTACCAAAAGCGTTTATCTCTTTTATTTATTTGGTGGAGTTTGAGTGAATTCAATAAAGTGCCAACTTTTTCATAAGTTTCATGCTATGGCATTTGAGACAAGCTATTAAACTGGATCACTGGTTGGCTAGCTAATAGACAACATTGAAAATAAATTTCTGATTGGAAAATGATGACAAGTGGCGCAAAAACTAACTAACAATACCATGGCTGACATTTACGGTAATGGATGCAATTCAGTTTTAATATGCATTAGGTTCCACCTTGAAGTACAAATATTCAACATCCTCAAACTACAAGTAGAAGCAGCAGCTTGGGTCGGTAATTGAATGCTAGGTTATTTCATAAGTCATTTCGGTATTAAAAACAGTAGTACCCCAGTGGGAAAGAAGACGTCGAAAAGACGTCTTTAAAAGTCTGATTTACGATGTCTTTAAGACGTCTTTTTTTAATCGATTATGCAAATCTAAAAGACATCTTTTTTCGACATCGAAAAGACGTCTTTTTTATCTTAATTTTGTCATTAAAAGACATAAAAAAATGCGTCTTTAAGACACCTTTTTTTAGTCGAATATGCAAATCTAAAAGACACCTTTTTTCGACATCGAAAATACGTCTTTTTTGTTTTTATCTTGTCATGAAAAGACATTAAAAATGCGTCTTTAAGACGTCTTTGTTTATCAATTGTGCACTTCTAAAAAAGTTTTTTTGCTCGGGGTCGGAATGACCTTTTTATCATAATTATTAGTATACTATAGTATCCTATACACTATAGTATTCCTACTTTTCATATATGAAAAGCTGTTTTTATTAAATAAAAAAATGATAACAGCTCTTCATACAAAGTATGACAAAAAGCTCTTTCCGATGCCAAGAAAAAACCTTCATTAGATGTCAATACAAAAGAGGAAGCATTTTCTACATCTTTTATATGTTTAAATATAGGAGAATAATTTATAAATAAAACAACACTATTGTTCAACAGAATATTTTTTCATCTTTCTTTTTCTTTTCTGTTTTTTGAGCGAACTCTGTTTCTTGGAGTTGTTGAATAAAATTAATTATTTCACGTCGAGAAATCCGTTTATACGAGCTTGTTACGACTTCTAGCTGGTTACGACTTCTAAAAAACGAGTGAACATAAAAAACAGTTTATTATTTGAATGTAATACAGAAAAGCAAATGAAACTTGATTAGCTGAGTGGAACACATTAGACTTACCGACTATTAATTCAAAAAGGGCTGATCCTTTTAACCCCCTCATGTTTCTAGCACGGTCCTTTCTTTTTGAACCCACTAGGCTAGATTGGGACAGGAGTCAAACGGTAAACAGTCCAAAAATGTATAAAAATGAGTGTACTAAAGAAATTTAAGACCATCAAAATGACTGTATAACGATGTATTTTATTATGTAGTATTTAAATCAAGCTAAAAAATTTGCACCTCTCAGATTTGTAATGAAAGCCAAGTTATTGAAAATATATTGATATTGATATTTTTCTGTCTTCTATGACGACTTTTTAATTGAATTTTGATGAAATTAGGTGTTGTAGACTTATAACAATTTAAAAATCTGTTATTGACTAAAGACTTTCAAAACAAAAAAATAATTCAGCTAATACACCTTGAGAGTTGTTATTCATTTAAACTGGATAAAAGCTCTATTTTAGCCTGAAACATAATGATGCCTTACTTAACAACATAAAATCATAAAAACTGGCGATATCATTAGCAACACAGATGAAATACACATAAACAAAAATGAAGACTAGAAAGCTGCAATGATCTTTAGATATAAGAAAGTGTATATATATATACTGCAATGATCTTTAGATATAAGAAAGTGTATATATATATGCATATATATATATATAGTATATATATATATATACATATATATATGCATATATATATATATATACTATAATATATATATGCATATATATTATGTATATTTTACATAATATATAACTTTATTATATAAATTATAAAATAAACCGAAAACAGTTAATTTTTAATTAAATTGTAAATTTTTAATTAAATTAATGCAAAAACGTTTCACACAAAAAAAGTTTTATAAAAGTATTTTGTAAACAAAAAACGGACCAATCAGAACGTAACAAAAATATCGTAATTACGATTCTGTGGGTTAAAAACCATCTTTGGTAGGTTCTATTGGCAATAATTATTTTTAATTTTCTTAAGCAAATAATGATTTCCTTATTACCAACAAAAGTTGTTAATAAGCAAATAATAATTTGTTTATTATAATTATAATAACCAAATTATGATTCGCTTATTAACAACTCAAGTTGTTTCCCAGTGGGAAACGTTAGTGAATTTTTCCCTCCCCATCCCAAAAGAAAAAAAATTTCTACTGAGTGTTATTTAATTTATTATTTAAATTAAAATTTTTTCATTTCTTTTTTTAAAAGTCATCGATATAAAAGACGTCTTTTCTACGTCTTAATAAAGACGTACAACCGATTGACGTCTTTTCGACCTCTTTTTTAAAGACGTCTTTTTAAAAGACGTCTTTTCCGCGTCTTTATTTAAGCTGAATTTAAAAAGACATAACTATTCATAAAAAAGACGTCTTTTATTTGTCTAAAGGTATCTTTTTTCCCACTGGGACAGTTGTCAGAGAGCTCCAACAACTGTACTGTATAAAGATTTGATCAGATGTACATTAAACCGCATCTAGAATTTTGCGTACAAATCTGATCATACCATCTCAAATCAGAACTTGCTTTATTCAAACGCATCCAAAAATGCGTAAAATCATTAATTAAACATTTTAGATACGAAGACTAAAATTACTAAAATTACCAAGTTCGTATTGACGTCATATTGCAATACAAATTGTTCATCGTTTACAATAGGTTGAACTTTATATTCTACAACTATAGCCATCAAAATTAACATGCAGTTTTAGAAAAAAACTGAAATGGACAAAAAAAAAAGGTTGTAGCGCCACCAAAGAACAAGAGCGCCCATCGGACTCACATGTTGAAAATGATTTGGATACATCTCTGTTTTGATGACATAATAATAATAATAATTTTTACTTGTAAAAAAGCAAAAAAAGAGTATTAGTTTCATCATTAATTTTAAAGAATCTGTTTATTAATTATAATCAGTGAATGTTAAATGGGTTGCATAAGTGTTATAAAAACACGATTATATAAAATTCTTAAAAATATGTACGTACGTATAATTGTACGTACATATTTTTAAGAATGCATACTTTTAAAGGAACTTAAATTAAAAGCATCTACATTCTTTTAATTTAAATTCCGTTTAAAAACATGCATATTTAAAAATTAACTGACTTAGCCTATCAAATTCTATACGAATTTGCTACAGAAATTATACTCTTGGTTTGTTTATCGGCTTATCAAAAGCTTTTGACATTGTTGATCATTAGATTCTCAATTTGAACAGACTAGAACGTATGGAATAATAAAAAACAACATAAACTGGTTACAAAGTTACCTTTAAAGTAGAAGACAAGGAGTATCTTATGATTCAACATGTACAAAGTTATAAACAATAAGCTGTGAATTTCGTCAAGGCTCTATTCTTGGACTAGTTATTGTTTCTGATTTACAGTAATGATAATTTTAACTACAGAAAGTCGCAAATAAAATTTTTTTTCAATTTTTTTATTTTTAACTTTATTTATTTATTTTAACAAAATAAAAGGCAAAAAAAACAACAACAAATAAATAAGATATTATTTTTTTTATATAAAATCTATAATTATATAGTCTGTTATTTATAATGAGCTCGAGCATCCTTGAAAAACAGAAAAGAATAGTTATAGGTCTGTAGTTATTGTATAGAATTATCTGTTAGATTGTGTAGAATCATTGCAATTTTTTATGCTGGGACTACTCTTGCTATTTCTAATTGACAAGGAAAAATTCTAATTGTTAGTAAAAGATTAAAGTTTTCAGCTATTTCTTTCTTGTCAAATATTTCTTTGTTTATTTTTATTTTAATCATTTTGGAACAGCTGTGTTTTTTTGTCATTGTTTTCTTCCTGTAACTTTCCTGTGACCTACCATGTCTTACTACTATTTCCTATTGAATGTTTTAAGAAGTCAGATTATAACTTTTATTTGCTTTTTTAAAGTTTTTGAAATTAGTAGTTATTTTAACTTAAGGATCTTTTGTGTTGTTAAGAAAATAAACTTAAAAATAAGTTGTATGCAGTGGCGTAACTAGGGGGGAGCATAAACCCGCAAGGCGGGGGGAGGGGGGCTGGAGTTTAGAGGGCCCCGCGGAAATTTACAAATTTTACTGATATGAATAATATAACTGGTAATAACAATATGAGTGTTACTAATTTCTGTTTTATCAAATACATTTTATGAATTTATAATTTTTCACGTTCCCCTATAGGCCTACGGACATTTTGGGAGAAAAAAATTGAGAAAAAATTTAAGGAGGGCCCCTTTACTTTTTTAGTTGAGTGCAATTTAGAAATGTTGCACTCAACTAAAAAAGCTCAACCAATTTCTGTTAATAGTTCACAAAATTTTACAATAGATTGGTTGTTTATTTGTCTTACATATGTTGCAAAGGAATCGTTTGCTTTAATTATTAAATTAAAGAGTAAGTTATAAAAAAATGTGGAAATCGATTGCTAATGTCAGTTTTAATGTTATCAATAACTGAAGAAGTATTGTTCTAAGGTAAATCTTTTAGTGTAGGAATTATTAAATAATTGAATGGTAAAATCACCAAAGTAAATGCGTTTTTTAATGGCTTATGATTTAATGACTTTTAATGACAATAGGCCTTTTAATAGACAATAGGTGACTTTAATAGACAATAGGGAGCAATTACTTTTACTCAGTAATTGGTCAGCTTTACGCGAATAAAAACTTTATGTATTTTCTTTAAGTTTTTAATCACGTAAAGCTGAACAATTACTGAGTAAATTGCTTAACATTACGTGAATAAAAATTAGAGGAAAACTCCTAACGTTTTTCTTTACGTAAAGTTGACCAATTACTAGTAAAAGTAATTGCTCATTTTTATTCATCCGGTAATATAGTTTAAGTATTTTTTAAATGTGTCAAAATTAGGTGGTCTGTTAAAAACAGTTTTAAAATATTTTAGGTTTTTTGGTTGATGATTTCAATTGTTAATAACTTACAATAAGCGTCATTGACACTAAGGTTTAGTAATTTTCTAAAAGTAAAAAATTTAAGAATAAAAATACATACGCCCCTGCCAAAGACTTTTTTCTTGGATTGATGTATTCAATTATAACCTGATATAAAAAAACTAGAGTTCAACTATCTTATCGCTATTTTGACACCAAGTTTCCTTTAGACACTAATGTTGTAGTTTAAGTTCTTTAATATTATTTATAGGGATTCAAAATTTTTAAAATTTTTTATCAATTTATTTACAACCTTTTTTTTTTTTTTTAATAAAAACAAGTCAAGATGTACATATTTTTGACACTTAGCCAATTAATTTTTTTTTTTTAAGTTTTAAGCTATTCTTCTTCAAATGGTTCCACTCTTTTTAATTTGCATATATAACAAGGTTGCGCAGCCAATATTACTTGAAAATAAACCACACACTATTTGATTAAATTTAAGATCAGCTACAAATGACAGTTATCTTTTATCTAAATAAAGTTTATTTTAAGACTTTCAGGAACATTTATAACTAAAATTGTAAAATCGATGTTTTTACAGAACTTTTTTTACATTTTGAATTCTGTGGTTTTTAATTAGTATTTTTTTTTATTTTTTAAGAATGTAAAAAAGAAGACTGTTATTTTTCCTTTCGCATTAAGACAGATTTTGAAGTTATAACCCAGCTAGCTGTAATAAAATATCACATCCGCCTAAAATATTACATCCCCCATAGAAAAAATGAAAACGAGAACGCGCTTTCGAGTCATTGCACTTAGAAGTGTATCAAATACGTCCGAAACATTCAATTATAAACTATATAATTAATAAAAACGTTTTTTTACTAATATACTATAAATGAAGTTAGCATAAAATGGTAATATATTTTAAATTCTTATTTATAATATTTTGATCGTAATGTATTGTGTGACAATAGCGTAGAAGAAGATTACACATTAGGGATACTTTATTTAATAAAAATAACAATCGTTTGCAATATTTTAGAAGCCTGCATAGGGGGGATGTGATATTTTAAGCAAGAATTCTAGTTTCTTTTTGTGACATATACAGAAATAACAAGTGGTGGATGTTATATTCTATATACCAAATACTAATTGTTTAAAATACTTTATAAACTACTTAGGGGGATGTAATATTTTAGAAGTAGACATCGGGGGGATGTTATATTTTAAGTAAGAATTTTAGTTTCTTTTTGTGACATATACAGTGAATAAACCGAGGGGATGTGATATTCTAGATACCAAATACTAATCGTTTGAAATATTGTATGAATTACTTAGGGAGATGTAATATTTAAAGGTAAACATAGAGGGGATGTGATATTTTAAGTAAGAATTTCAGTTTCTTTTTGTGACATATACATAGAATCTACAGGGGGATGTGATATTCTAGGTATCAAATACTAATCAATTGAAATATTGTATGAATTACTTAGGTGGACCTAATATTTTAAAGGTAAACATAGAGGGGATGTGATATTTTAAATAGCAAATATTAGTTGTTTGAAATATTGTATGAATTACTTAGGGGAATGTAATATTTTAAAGGTAAACATAGAGGGGATGTGATGTTTTAAGTAAGAATTTCAGTTTCTTTTTGTGACATATGCAGAGATTCCATAGGGTAGATGTGATATTTTAAATATCAAATATGAATTGCTTGAAATATTGTACTTAGGGGGATCTAATATTTTAGAAGTATACATAGGGGGGATGTGATATTTTAAGTAAGAATTTTAGTTTCTTTTTGTGGTACAAACATAATTTGCAAGTGATGAATGTGATATTCAAGATAGCATTTACTACTCATTTGAAAAATTTTATGAATTACTTAGGGGATGTAATATTTTAAAGATATACATAGGGGGGATGTGATATTGGGGAATATTTTAGAAGCCTGCATAGGGAGATTTGATATTTTAATTTAGAATTTTAGCTGTTATTTGCAAAATGTGCAGAGATTACTCAAACAGTCTTTTTTAATTATTTTTTTTCAGATTTAATTGAGCTAACAAGTTAAAAATGTATTATTGTTCAATCAATTCATATGTATGCCAACATATAAATTTACACAAAATAATATGTATGTCGACATATAATCTATGCCGAATGTAAAATATGCCGAAATATGTAAAATATGCCGAATATGTATGCCAATGATTTACACAAAATAATATGTATGGCGACATATGAATTGGCAGAATTATGAAGGCTTCCGACAATTTAAAGTATTATAACAATACAAGAAGTCACTAAAAATAGGGAGAAAAAAAAATTCACCTTTTTGTGTTTATATCTGTAAGGGCATAAACATTTAAATTGGTTCAATTTATGACAAAATTTTGAAGAAAAAGAAATGACTGCAATTTTTAAAGTTTTATTTATTATTACATTTGTATATAAATATGTTCACAACAAAATAAAGTTTCATTTTTAAAAACAATGCATCTTATACGGTACCATCGATTTGGATGCAAATATCACATTTGATCTAAAAATAAATATTTAATGTACATTTTTGTATTTGAATATTTAAAGTAAGTATTTTATTCTATTTGAAATAATTAAAATATATTTTATTACCCATCATATACCCAAAAAAATTATATTTTATTACACATTATATACCCAAAAAAACAATTAAAATATATTTTATTACCCATTTAACTTTTTTTTGATTTTTTCTAGTTTTTTGACCAATTTCGCTTCCACAAATGCTACACAAACTATTCTGCCAACTTTTCTGACCTATTGATTTAATTTTTCATCATTTTTTTTTTGTCTTTTTTAGAGATATCATTTAACATTGAAGTAGTAAACATTTTCAGTTCTCTAAATAATCTCACAAACCTCCTTTATCTCTTTCTATATGCATTAACTTCTACATGTGGAAAGAAACGCACCAATACTTCTCCATTTGTATAACTTTCAGCAAACTAAAATATGTAAGCTTATATTTATTTATATATATATATATATATATATATATATATATATATATATATATATATATATATATATATATATATATATCCATTACAATTAAGACTCTTAAAGTTATTTTAAGGCAGAATACTCCAAATGTTATACCTTCAGCTTGTATGGCATGTGGTAATATTAATATTTCAAACTTTTCTGAAACACCATATCTTTGTTGTAAGTAACAACTACTGTATAATAGTAAAAAATTATAAAAGATGTAAATACAAATTTTGACATATCAAGCGAAATGGAAGTATGATATTATTATTAGGAATATCTAATAATAATATCATACTTCCATTTCGCTTCTTCTTTTTTGATGGAATTTATCTGTTCTCCCATAGGATCCATAGAGTGAATTGTTTTATTACCTGGTTTGATTATCTAAAACTCAAGTGAGTTTCAAAATCAGGTTCAAAGTTAGGTTCCCTGTAAAAAAATGGGAAACCTAACCTTTCACTGAAAGTTAAACTTTTTGTACTTTGAGAAATAAACTTTTTCAAAAAACAATTATGCTATTTTACACACTGCATTTTTCCACCATACAGCATATTAGCATATCTTGTTTAAAGAGCTCTTTCTATGAAGATATGTATATATGTATATATATATATATATATATATATATATATATATATATATATATATATATATATATATATATATATATATATATATATATATGTATACATATATATATATATATATATATATATATATATATATATATATATATATATGTATACATATATATATATATATATATGTATACATATATATACCATACAGCATATTAGCATATCTTGTTTAAAGAGCTCTTTCTATGAAGATATGTATATATGTATATATATATATATATATATATATATATATATATATATATATATATATATATATATATATATATATATATATATATGTATACATATATATATATATATATATATATATATATATATATATATATATATATATATATATATATGTATACATATATATATATATATATATATATATATATATATATATATATATATATATATATATATATATATATATATATATATATATATATATATATATATATATATATATATTTGTGTGTGTGGGTGTATGTGGGTGTGAAATGCTCTTTAATTAAATTAATAAATTATTAATTTTTTTTAGATAAAGGTTTTTGAATACCTTATGCCGTCTTTGTATTAAATCAGTTTTAATTTGCAATTCATCCAGTGAGCGTAGCCCAGCTGGCTACAGTACTTCGACTCGATTCTTCAAAGCATCAATAAATGGAATGGCATTCAATATATTGTTTTATATTTAGAATTAAAATTTTATTTAAATAAAGACAAATTAAAAAAAAAATGCGTTATTGTTTTTTTGTACAATAATTTTATTATAAAGTACATTAATTAACCATACTTTTTCTTTACTGTTTACTAATATTTTGAGATAAATATTAACAACTTCGTCACTGAGACATTCGTTTAAAGTGTCTTGTAACGAATAATCGTGTACTTTGCAGTCACCTAAATCTGGATGTATACCCAGAATGACTTTTACAGGGTTTTTTAATATGGATACATTTTATTATTCCGTAACCTATTCATGAAATGCAATTTAAGGATAATTTCATCAAAATTTAAGCATAAGTCTTTCTTCTAATAAAATAACGACTATTACATTTATTAAAGATTACATGTTTTAAAACTCTACACATTTTTTCACCAGGTTGGATAACGTTTAAATTGATTATTTAAATAGGTTTACATAAAAATCTTTATTACAATAAAAAGGTAACGCTAAAAAAATGTAAAAGTTAATTATTATTATATACCTTCACTGTCTCTAGCTGCAAAGATTTTTATAATTATCTGCCTCCTCTAGAAAATAAATTATAAATAAAATAAAACGCTAACAATTACAAATGAATAAGTAAGTTTTTAATTCATACATTCACTATCATTAACTTCAAAGCTTTTTGTTGGTGTCTCTGCCTTCTCTTGAAAATAACCATAAAATAAAATAATGAAAAAATATATGTTTTAAAAATAAATTAAAATAAGAAAACGAATATTTTACCCGAGTATAAATCAAAAAACAATAAAAATTGTTTTCATATTAATATTACCTGTAGAAAGTTAAACAAATATTAGGTTTGAAGAAAAAATAAAATATTTTATAAATAGAATGAAAACTTCATTGAAGTAACAGGTATATCAGTAACTTCTACAGAGTAACAATATTTAAAAAAAAAACATTTTTTCTTCTCAGCGTTTTTTAAAGACGTTTAAAGACCTGTATTAGGCGTAATAAAATTTAGACGCCTTTGAATAGCTATGGCTTTCTGAGACAAGAGTCTGACAAAGATGTCTTTTAAACTAAAATAAGTGAACATAAACTCTCAACCTCAACTAATATATTTAAAAATATAATGTAACTTCACTTTGTTTTATCTCATTCTTTTTCTAGCGCTTATCTTTCTTTAAACCTTTTAATTTTCTAAACTGATCAAAACGAGCTTCTTGATTCACAAAAAAGTTATGCCAAATATTGTGCGGCCGTGGCGCAGTGGTTAGATCATATGCTTTATAAGCAGGAGATCCAGGTTCAAAACGAACTTTGGACATATTTCGCGTCATGGTAAGGAAGGATGCGTGAACTTCCTGGTTAAATCGTGAACTTCCTGGACAAGACCGTTAGGACTTCTTAGGGTACCTAAATAACAAATTAAAAAAAAAATTATAAATAAGGACAATTTTGTGCAGATTTTTTGTTATGTTTATTATGGCTAGGCGTTGGCACCGGACTCGTTGAATAAAAATTTAATCAATCTTTATTATAACAATTAACATAGTCAGTTTTGTTACCTAATTCAATCATTTAAATTAAGCCACTACGCTTTCGTCTTTTTTTCAAACTTGTTGAACTCAACGCTATAAATCTGTCATTATAAGGATGATTATTATTTCTTAGTGAAATCTTCTTCGAACAATCCTGCACTTTAGCATTTGTGTCATTAAGAAAATAGGAAAGCCTAACAAAAGCAGAATATTCTTAGTGTGGAAGAATAATACTTGCTCAATAGTATTTTTTTTCAAAATTTTTATTTTTACAAAAATGTTGTGTTAACATTTGGTAGAATATATATATATATAAAAGACAAAGTACATAAACGGTTTGTTGTATATATATATATATATATATATATATATATATATATATATATATATATATATATATATATATATATATATATATATATATATATATATATATACAACAAACCGTTTATGTACTTTGTCTTTTACAGTACATTATTCTTTATCATTTCAGTTCAGTATGATATTGGATGATTCTAATACATGAAATACATGATTTTATAATTTATTGTAATAAATATAAGTTAATTTTTTAAACTGCCACTTTTAAAAATTTGTATAATTTTAATAATTGTGAACTGGACTAAATATTATTAACTCGCCTCAACAGGCTCAATAATCACATTATATTTCCATACCAAGCCACCCAAAGAAACTTTAATATTTAAAAATAGTTCTTTAAAATGTTCCTTTATTAAGAAAAGAAGTTTCTATTATTCAAAAAAAGTATCTAAAGAAGTTATAACCTTCCCAAAACATTAGGCCTAAGCCACCATAGGTGGACGTAATGGAGAAAAATTTTAAATTATGCAATAGAATGAAAAAAGACAAACCGTAATTATTTATTTTCCTTCAAAACGTTTTGTACATTAAAATATTTATGTTGTAAGATATGAATACAATTAGAGTAAAAAATTATTGTAATTAATTTTGTTCATTTTAAATCTTATGAAAACTTTAATTCCACCAAAGTTTTATATATGACTTCGTTGAACAATGTCGCATGTTTAAATTGTTAGCTCAATCGTATCTAAAAAAAAATAAAATATTAAATTAAAACTTTAAAAAGCTAAAAAACACTTTAAATATTAAAGTTTCTTGATTTTATTAAAAGCTCTTTAATTTTTTTTAATTCTTTAATTAAATATATAAATTTATTATAAAGATCTCCCCATCAGAGGAGGACCCAAGAAACAAAAAATAACTAACAATATTTGAGATACATATCTTACTTAAATTACGCATCAACCCTATGCAGGCATCTAAAATATTATTATTATCCCACTAAGGAATTCTTTACAATATTTTAAACAATTAGTATTTTGTGTTTTAAATATCAGATTCCTCACTTAAAAATTCTGTATGTATCACATAAAGAAACTAAAATTTTTACATAAAATATCACATCCCCTCTTTGTATACTTTTAAAATATTACATCCCCCTAAGTAATTCTTTACAATATTTCATTAGGTATCAAATACTAATCAATGATTAGTATTTAGTACCTAGAATATCACATTCCCCCTATTTATTCTCTATAAATGTCACAAAATAAAACTTAAATTCTTACTTAAATTACACATCCATCCTATTCAGGCGTCTAAAATATTACATCCCACTAAGTAATTCATAAAATAATTCAAACAATAAGTATTCGGTAATTAGACTATAACATCCATCACTTGTAATTTCTGTATAAATAACATAAAGAAACTGAAATTCTTTCTTAAAATATCACATCCCCCCTATGTATACTTTTAAAATATTACATCCCCCTAAGTAATTCATACAATATTTCAATTGATTAGTATTTGATACCTTTAAAAAATTTATATTTTTCGCTTATACACAGCTATCTTTCATACTGTAACATTTCCTGCGGTAACACTAATCACACTAAACTCAAAAAAATTTATAGTTAACAAAAACATGCTTGCAGGATAGTATTTGGGGCAAATAGAAAAACACAATGCGAACCTCTCTTACGTCAGCTTGGAGCTTTAAATATTTATAAGCTTAATATTCATCAAGTAATGTTATTTATGTTTAAAGCAAAACTTGGGTTTTCTTCAGTAACATTTCAATCCTACTTTAATGAAATCTCCCATAAATATCCAACCAAATTTTCAGTGAATAACATTATGGTTCCCATAAACCTTCTTAAATTAAGTTCGTACCAAATTCAATATCGGGGACCTTTAGTTTGGAAAAAATTTCTTTCAATCTTTAGTAAAAAACAAAACTTCGTTTTAAACTGCACTTTGCAAAGTTTTAAGGATGATTCAAAACGGCATTTACTGAACATGGAATTCGATATATTAGATTTTAAATACCTTTTTTGAAAACAATTTAGAGGTTTAAACTAAATCACTTAAAAATAAATTAAATCTTTATCACTTTCTTTAGCTTTTATTAAAATGGTTTCAAACCATTAATATAAAAGATAAAGAAAATAAAATTGTCTTTTCGTTCATATTTTTGATGAAATTAAATAATCAGCCAAATACTTTTGTTTACATATATTGCTTTTTTTTTAACACTTTACAAGTTTTGGTTAATTTACATTAACTGCCTGTTAGTTTTATTACTGTAAAAAACACTGTCAATTCAGGAGTCTGTGGCAATCTTCCTGACTGGATACTCTGAGAATAGTCCTTTTGGGATAACACAATGGGATACCTTTAAAAAGATACCCTGGTGTAGACCCAGAGTGGAACTTCTTTTGGGATACCAGTTTCGGATGAAAGCTGGAAGTCTTTATGCGTTCACACTGCACCATAGGGCACGAATTCATACTGTACTTTAGACGTTTATGACACTTACATCTATAATGAATGTTTATCACCCTAAGAATACAAACCACATGATGACTACTTATAAAACGAATAGTTCTACTCCATTACCAATTCTATCTACAGGCAGTAATAGTCTATCTAACAGGCAGTTAATGTAAACAACTGTAAACTAACAGTAACAAAGTCATTCAAGACATCAAATCAAGATATTTTAGAAAGTGTAAAGTGAACAAGTGTTAACACTTAACAGTTTAACAATTTAAACAACGCATTTTTTTTTTGTGTGTTTTTATAACTTTTATGATTTTCTGTCGTTTTTAGTTTTTTATTTTTAAAATTATTCTGCTGGGAGATTGTTAGCAACAAATTATTTTATTGCTGAAGTTTTTGATTTGTTTTTGTTTTTGTATTTATACTGTCTTTTTGTCTTTTATCATTTATTGTGCATGTAAATTTTTGTGTGACGGAGCTCGGTGATAAGACAACCTGTCTTCTTCTTGCTCCGGCCGGGATTTTCTTTTATTGTAATTTCTTTTTTGTAATATTTATCAACGGCAAAATAAATAAATAATATATATATATATATATATATATATATATATATATATATATATATATATATATATATATATATATATATATATACATATATACATATATGTATAAAGAAAATAGAATTTAATTCTAAATAATATTGAATGCAACGTTTTGCCAATTAAAATTCAACGTTGAATCAACGTAAATACAACGTTGGGCCAACGTTTAAAAATAAAAAAAAAGATAAACAAAACTAAATCTTTATTTTTTTAAGAAAAAATGGTAATTTTTTATTATTTCTATTATAAATATTCCGCAATTCTGTCAGGCATCCTACATTTATATATTGTCAGGCATCCTACATTTATATATTATCTTATATATGTACAATGACGGGAGTAATAAGCTTGACAAAAAATACTATATTATACTCATTCATAGCTGTTAGAATAAAATTTATTTACCTACTAAGGTAACAGCCGTGGCGCAGTGGTTCGAGTTCTGGCTCAGAACCAAGAGGTCCTAGGTTCGACGCTGGATCTAGCCCAATAAACAACATTGATAAGGAAGGAGGCGTGAACCTCTAGTAAATACTCTCCCGCGGTGCTCCGCGATAAGACCGCAAGGACTTCTGGGAGCACCTAAATAACCAAAAACTTTACTGGTGACAAACAGGCTATTGGTTAGCTTGGAACTTCTTTAATATCTCTTTAAAAAAGCAACTGACATTAGTAAAAATTAGTTTTACCAATGTTAGCCTTATTTTCAATTTTGATTTAGGCATCTCTTCTTTATGATATTTATATTATATTGTATAGAAATTTTAAAATGTTTAATGAGTTTTTCTGGACTAAAAACAAAACTGCAATATTATTTAGAACCAACCGCGTAGCCAGAAGCAAAAACCTGGGGGAAGGACACTATTTTTAATTGAGGAAATATGTATAACATTTTTTGTTAATGATTTGAAAATAAAAAAATATTTTAACTATAAAAAACTTTTTTAGTGGAAAACAAAGAGTTTGAAATGTAAATAAATAATCTTTTTTCCAAAAAAAAGAATTTATTACTTTTTAAAAACTTTACTTACTGTTGTAAACATTATTTCCTGGAAGAAGGGTTTTAGTTTACTACATTTATTCTCTACATACTACATACATTCTCTATATACATTCTCTGGGATAAGTCTTACACAAACTTTCCTCATGCTGCTCAGAAAATTTTTTTTTTTTCTTATGGAGAAATATAATTCAGGGGGAGAGACTTTCACGTCGTACACATGCTAAACGGCCCTGCTTATAATTTAATATTTTTCATCTGCTCCGTTTGTTAAAACTGCGGCCCTAATATGACGACATAATTTGACTAGTTTTTAACGGATGAAGTTCGGTGAGGAAGCTGTTTAAACATCTCTCATTTAATATTGCTTTTTTTGAAGGCTTTAATATTTTATATCATATGGTTTTTAGGCATCATTTTATAACTAATTATTTTTGAAATGGCTGGCACCAATAACGTTACTAACAAGGCAAAAGAAGTAGCCGAGGAGTATAAGTCTGCTCTTGCTGACCTAACATTTAATTCAAAACCAATGATAAATCTGTTAACTATGCTTGCTGATGAAAATAGAGACTGTGCACAAACGATTGTTCAGGCTATATGTGACAGAATAAAGCAAGTTAGTTGGGTTAATTTTGTACTTCATATATTTGTAAATCATAAATTTTAAACTAAAAGAAAATAAACTTCATTAATCTTCAATTTTTTTTCTTTTTTTAAAAAACCAAAGGACATATTATAAGAGTTTTAAAAAAGCGCAAAAAATATATAAAGAAATTGCGTCCATAGATACATATTATCCTTTACATTTTTATAGTATATAAATATATATGTTAGCTATTCTTACTTTAAATGGCCTAAAATAAGTTTATTATTTTTTGCTTATTCTACTCAGTTTTGCTTATTCTGCTTATTCTCATCAGTGGAGTTCATCAGTGGTTGCAAGAAAGTGATGCTACATTAAATATAGATTTGGCCCCCTGGCCAAACCTTTATTTTGATTTAGGCATCTCTTCCTTATGATATTTATATTGTATAGAAATTTTAAAATGTTTAGTGAGTTTTTCTGTACTAAAAACAAAACTGCGATATTATTTAGAATCAACCGCATAGCCAGAAGCAAAAACCTGGGGGAAGGTTCTTGCAACAGCAGGTTATATAATAGTCAATGTATGTACTGAAGCTAATAAGTATTTCATTATCCGCTACATTGACTATGGTTTTGGCATAGGGTAGCAATCATAAAAAGTCTCCTAACAAAAATGCAATTAGCAAAAAAAAAAAAAAAAAATTATTTTAGGTTGATTAACTGTAGCATTGCCTGTATATATATATATATATATATATATATATATATATATATATATATATATATATATATATATATATATATATATATATATATATATATCCCTGGGTTTTAGTTTATATAAAATATATTTATGACAATTTACCCTGTCAATTATTTATAACCAGTTTGGTTACTATTCTTTATAAATAGTTTGACAGTGCATTCAATGTTTTGTGCATGATAAGGAAATTCTGGTAAGTTCAGGACTTTATTCCTAGCAATTAGTTCATCAATTTTGTTATCCTTCAACTATATTGTTAATTTTGTTAACAACTTTTTTTTAAAGTCAATTGTGTGCAATAAATTGCATGGAAGTTTATTTCAACATTAGTGATACTTGTAACATGAAATTCTCATTAGCTTTACTTGTCCTGCATTTTTTTAACTAAAAGTGTCTGTTCCAATACATTAGTTTATTTATTATCTTATCTCTAAATTTGCAATATGAAATCCTCAGCCAACAAAGAATGTATTTTTATTTTTATTTTTTTGAAGAATCTCTAAATTTAGATGACCATATGATAAGAAACCAAATGTATGTTTACACTTGCACAGTGGAATGAAAGGTGACCAAAACTTATGCAGATTTTAAAATGTCTAATTTTACTGAAAGTGCAATTTGATAAACTTTTAATGTATTAAATAAATGATCATTAAGTAGGAGATTAGATATTTCTTCTTCATTTAAATTTATTAGTAATTAATTAGGAAATTTGGTATATTTATTTGTAATTAGGTAGGAAATTAGGCATTTTATCTTCATGTAAAATTTACAATTCCTCTTGGCGTAGGGGGTGAATCTTTTGGGATATTTTTGTTAAATTTTTTTTTTTAATTTACCCTCTCAAAAAGCTATAAAAACAGTATCTAAATTTTATGTTTTTCATTTTGATATTGCGTTTACATTTACAGGTGTTAGTATGTAGCGCTATACAAATTGAATTTACATTAAATCTAAGTGACATATTGCTTTCAATTTACTTAAGATATATTAACATAAATTTTGTATACTTCCTTATAAAAAGATGCTGAGACTCAATTTTGCTTATAACTCGGGTTTCATGGCTGCCATAAGTAATTAAATTTTGAATTTCTTTTATTAGAAAACAATATACATGTAAATTATTAACAATGTTTTTTATTATGTTAATTTTGTTTGACAAAGTTTAAATAAAAATTTATTTTACTAATGATAAACAAAAGGTTAAATATTAATGATTCAAAATTAGCATTTTGAATTATAAGAAAATATAATTTTGAAACTTATTATAAATTGAAAAAACATGATTCAAAATGCCAATGTAACATTAAAATTTTTTTGGATAAATTTATATTTTGAATTAAAAAGAAAGTCAGGTTCAAAGTGCAACAGCAATGTTTTTAAAGACGGTATAGTCACACAGGCCTTTTAAATAAAAAATGCTTAACACATTAGCCTTATGTAAATTTGACATCATAAAGTTCAATTTATTTTTATTATTTTTTATTAAAGACATTAACTTTTTTAAATTACTGCAATAATATTATTTACCACAAAATGAGTTAAATATTATTTAACTTGTTTTTTATTGTTACTATTAGGGAATGTTTATTCTCTTTCATAATTTTTTTTTTTTTTTTTGATTAAATAATTGAATTTAATATTACATTTAAAAAATGTTTGATATTAACAAAATTCTTTGTTTTACCGACATTTGCATAAATGAATTATATGTTAAATTTTTTTTTTTTTTTTTTTTTCATTTAAAAAAAATTAGAGTAACAAATAAAAAAATTACTTTAATTTATTTACTTTATTTATTTAAAATTTATTTTTTTATTAGCGATTTTGTTATGAAAACAAGGATTACTTTTAGCGCAAAGATTATTTTATCAAACACTGTTTATTAAAATTATATTGCTGTATATATCATTTATTAAAAAATAATCTCTGTGATAATAACTTGCATTATAAAAGTTGAACTTGTGTTTTGTGCAAAAATTTAATGCATGAACATGTTTAAAATTTAATTTTGAGTTCAAAAAAAACAATGTTTAGGAAGAAAAACCAAAAAAATAATTGTGATAAAAATGAGCTAATTTTAATTGGAGAATAAATAAAGTTTAAATAATAAATTTTTTTTTATTAATATTTAAAAATAAATTTGGCAGTTATATTAAACCCAATCATTAACTTAAATAAACTTAAATATATTTTTTTAGTCAGTTTAATTATATTTTTATAATCAAAATTAATTTTTTTTTTTATTATTATTTTTTTTTTTTTATTACAATGAAATTATATATTTTTATTAAATTAGTTTTGAACTAGATTTTTTTTTTAATCAGAACTGAATTATATTATTATGATATTTACTTCCAACCTAATATATGAGCAATGTTGAAATGAAAAATTCAATCCTGATAATTAAATAAAAATATATATAAAATAAAGATAAAATAAAATTTATTATTAATTTATTTTATATTATCAAATAGAAATTTAAGTTATTTTTTTTATTACAATCAAAAGTTGTATAAATATTCTTGTGCTTGCAAGATGATAAATTAAAGTTTTTATATATATTTCTTTTATGTTTTTTTTTTTTTTTTATAGATTTCGCTTAATAACTTTGTATACAAAAGAAATTAAACAATTTTTTTTTTCTGTTACTAAATATTTTGGTAAAATAATTGGCTTAAAGATTAAATTTTTGTAGATTTTGATATTATTTGAGTTCTTTTCATTAGTAAATAGCACTTATATCAACATAATTGTCATTCATACATTTGTAGCAAACTTTTTTACATAATCGTCATTCAAAAGTTAATGTGATTTTTTATAAAATGAACTTCTTTTTGCTTACCGCTTATATAATAATTTAAAAGTTAAAAAAATGATTAAAAGTTGCTAAATGGAAATTGCTCTAGACATGCATAAAATTGCTTTACACGTACGTAAATTGCTGGCAGGTCAGCGCTTTAAAACAAGGCTTGGTTGCACTTTGAAACATTTTAAATGGCATACATTTTTAATTTAAATTGTTTTTATTACGTTAAGTTATATAATGCACCATTGTGTATTCATTTTTAATCGTAGTGTATAATTTACATACATTTTTAAGTTTACTGAACTCTGTAGGCTTTTTTAAATAATCACAAGGAATAAAATCTTCATAGTTTAAAATATGCATTTAATAATAAACACTCTTTTGTAAATAACGAACTGCCTGGTTGTCCTGCCCAGCTACCTATAGGAATTGACTGGGGCCCTGGCCAAATATATTTTTTTTTACAACCCCAGCCCTGGCTAAACAATTCTAGCATGGTTATTAGCTGGGGCTAGGATATTTTATTAAATATATATATATATATATATATATATATATATATATATATATATATATATATATATATATATATATATATATATATATATATATATATATATATATATATATATATACACACACACACACACACACACACACACACAAACATGTACACACACACGTACATATATACATATATATATTAGGGTGGTCCAAATTTTACACTATTTAAAATGCAGACTCCACAACCCTAAATGTGTTCTATATAATAACATAATACTGGAGTTAAAAAATCTTTAAAAAAAAAAATATTTTTAGGGTAGCAATAGTCTCTAAGGGGCTCATTACATGAGTAAAAATCAGCCCGGGCTAGGTTTCAGCCCACTTATCCGGGCTGAAATTTCCCCCCGCCTAACACTTTGTTTTCTTATAAATTCAAATTTAGTATTATATGATGAGCGGGATGAAATTCCCCCCGGGATCAATATCCTAGCCTGTTTTATAAAACCGAGGCAGGATTTTCAGCCCTGACAATTTCCATTATTAATGTAAAATTAAAGATGGCTACACTAAAACCAGTAAGTGAAGTAAAGATAAAAGAAAGCGTAGAAGTTCGATTTCGTTGGGATAAAGACAATAAAATTTAAAATTTAATTCAGAGTTTATCAAATTTTAAATCTCAAATGGAATATAATAACAAGGATTTTAATGCTGACAAATCAAATCAGAACGAAAGTTGTAGAAAAGCTTTGGCTAACATTTACTGTCATGAGCCAAGTTGGTTTGGGCCTGTTTGTCCTAATGACAATATCTTATCCGAACAAAATAAAATTGATATAACTCTTATTAAAAGAGGTTATAGTAGAGTTCAAGAAAAAATCAAAGAAATTCGTCAGAATTTTTCATTAGCTGTAACATCAGGTCGAAGGAGTGGAAGTGGAAAAATAGTACTTGAATTTTATGATCATCTAGTTCAAATATGGGGTGGATCTCCATCTATAGAACCGTTATTTTTTGGGAAATCAACGTATGATGTTAATAAGGAAATTATGGATAATAACAAAAGTGTAGAAAATTTAACATGTAGCACTGAAGACACCACAGTTAAAAATACAGATAATGTAAATCTATGTTCAAGTTCTTGCAGTATTGAGGACAATAGTGTAGTTGATTTTTCTTTATTATTACAGAGTCCAGAAACTTCATCTGTTGATAGTGATATCTCAACTAAAAAAAAGAAACGTAAAAATGACAATAATGAAATTGTTCCAAAATTTATTGACAATAAGCGACGACACATGCAGAGACAATTGAGTGCATCACAAAGAGATCAAATTTTGTTGAATGAAGCAAAAGAAGATGCTCAATTTAAAAGAGATATCGCTGAAGCCATAAGACATTCTAATGAAACATTCTCAGCATCAATCGAGCGAATGTCAGAATTTATTTTACAGGTTGCCCAGGGACTTTCTAGATCAATGGAATTATTATTTCAGGGAATGAAAACTAATCAACAATAATTAAGGTGTATAATAAAATTAGTACATTTTATAGTAACTTTAATGATTGCAATATAATGGACTTGTTTTTATTGCTTATGAATATTTTTTTTCTTGTAAAACTTTATTTGTTTTGTTGTTAAATTTAAGTTATTTTCTTACTAATAATTATAACAAGTTTGTAATGAAACACAACAATTACAATAATTTAGCAAAATACAATAATTTAACCATAAAAAAGGATTTCACATTTTCCTTAGTTTTTTATATATAAGCTTTTTATATTTTTAGTCCCTAAATAAATTTTCTGATGTATATTTTGTTATAGTTTTGCATATATATTCACCTTCAGGATTATTAGCAGAGTAAATACTGTCAGGGAGGTTTGGGCTTTTCAATGCATCACTTCGATGTCTTTCAATTTGCTGATTAACCTCCTCTTCATTTAGGTCAAAGGTTTTGTTTTTTTTCACAAAAGTTATGAAGAACAAAACAAGTATAAATAACAATAGGAACTGTTTCTATTTTTATATCAATTATTTTTCTTAAAAATCCCCACCTTGCTTTTAATCTGCCAAAAGCACATTCAATCTGGTTCCTAGCAGAGCGTAACATGCTGTTAAATATGACTTCTTCGTTATTTGAACAACTTTGAAACTCTTTTATGCAAAAGTTTGTTAATGGATAGGCTGGGTCTCCAATCAGATAGTTAGGAATTGAATGGTAATTAGGTAAACTGTACAATGTTTGAGGTAGTGTGCCTTTTATTAATTTTTTATTGATAGTGGAATTTATAAACATCTTTGCATCATGTACAGATCCTGGCCATTTGCATTCAACATCAATAAAATATCCTTTGCTATCGCATACCGCTTGTACATTTAATGAAAAATATTGCTTATAACAAAAGTAGTCTTGACCGTTTTTAATAGGACGTTTAATTTGGACATGAGTGCCATCAATGCATCCAAATGCTTGTATCATGCCGAACTTTACTTCAAACTGTGAAGCTAATTTGGTCATATCCTCTTTATTTTTAGGTAGATGTAAATATAAAGGACCAACGATATTATTTATGGCATCACATACAACTTTTACAGTTTTTGAAACAGTACATTGATGAATGCCGAAAATATTGGCTGTCATCCAAAGGGAACCAGTATCCTTTAAATAATAAATGGTTATTGCTAGTTTTTTGTGTGTAGTTAAAAAACAATAATTTGGACAGTTAGATTGTATCTATAATAGTATCTATAATAGCAGGAAGCTCTAGAAAACATCCCTTTGTCTTTCGGAAATATCTTTTCCAGCAAGTTTCAGGGACATCTGGTCCAATCATATTTTGCCACCATAAATCAGTTCTCCCCTTTTCCACCCATAAACTTCTAGATTTTCTGTTCAAAAGTCTTTGTCTAGCAAGTTTCTTCTTACGTTGCAAGTTATTTTTTCGTGTGCATAAATAAGCACCAAGGGCAATATTTCGTTTGCTTTCTAATAGTTTGTATGTAATTACTAAACCATTAAGTTGCAATATAAGTGCTGTAAGTAGACTGCACTGTTGAATTATAAATAACACTTTTTGTACAATATTATTTTAACGAATAGACATTTTACATTAAAAAATTTCAACCCGGCTGAGTTGAAATTTGAAAACTGAAAGTTGCAGCGGGATGAAAACGTCTATGTAATAGTAAACAATTTTCAACCCGGCACGGAGCTGAACTTTCATCCCCGGTTGAATTCATCTCATGTAATGAGCCCCTAAAACATCAGAGGGGTCCCTAATATTATCAAGAAAAAAAGTTCCTCAAAAGTATTTATGTTGGGTCTCAAAAGAAGTGAAATTTCATAAAAATTTCAAAAATAATAAAAACAATTTATAAAAACACAAATTAAAAAAGTTTATTTAAAAAAAACCTTTGAAAATATGTACTTTTAATTTTTTTGTTAAAAAATGATAGTTTTTAAACCATAAAATTTTAACTAGTAATCTTAATAATATATATACATTTATTAGGGGTGTATTGAAGTAAAGATTTTCAATTCTGATCGAAACCGGATTTGTTGAATTTGCTAAAAAAATTCTGGCCGGAATGAGATTTATATTTATGTAGTTTTTTAACTTCAAGATTAAAAGTGAAAGCCTGCACCTCAGCATCGTGGTTACATAATATATATTTATAACCTATAATATATATATTTTATATATATATATATATATATATATATATATATATATATATATATATATATATATATATATATATATACACACAGGGGCTATTCTAGACCATTTTCGACAAAGTCGACCGTATTTTGGGTGCCGCCCAAATTAAAATTTGAGGATTTTTTCTTTTTTTTTTTCCTTTTTTTTTATGGCAGTTATTGTTATTTTTGCAAAAAAAACGGCTGATTTTCTGCTAAAGTTCACCAGAACGAAGGGTACTGCCACCCAAATTTTTTTTATAGTATAGGCACTGATATATATATATATACATATAGGGGCTATTTTAGGAAATAAATTTGACTGTGTATTTTATGTGAACTGTTGAATCAGTGTTAGCTAAATAGCATCTGAATGGTAAGAAATGGAAATTATTTAAATATTCTATTAAAATAAGTGAAAAAAAGCCTTAAAATGGTCATTTTAGAAGTTACATCATGTCATCCCACAGTGCAATCCTTTTTTTTTTTTTTTTTTTTTTTTTTTTTTTTTTTTTTTTTTTTTTTTTTTTTTTTTTTTTTGGCATAACTTTTTTTTGGTTTAAATGTTAAAGTATTTCACAGGTAGTAGTTGAAGAAAAGATGCCTGCTCTCTACCTGCTAGACTCTATTTTAAAAAATTTGTGTGGGGAATATGTTGCAATAATCTCAAAGTATGTCACTGAAACATTTTGTCATGTTTTTGAACAAGTAAGTTTTACTGTTTTGTAAATATTTTGGTTTTGCCTAATTTGTGTTTATATTGAAAGTTATATTTTTTGAATTAATTTCAAAAAATTTAATCTTCTTTTTTTCTAGATCATTCCTTTAAGCATGATTTCCTTTTTGTGACTCTACATTTAAAAAGGTTCAACCAAGCCATTTTTATTAACAAATGTTTTATTTTCAAATTAAATATACTAAAGTCTGATCAAAAAAAGTTACACTTTTTATTAGTTATAAATATTAAAAATTGTCACGTAAAAAAATAAAAAGATTGATGATTTGAAATTAACAATTAAAAATACTATATTAATAAAATATTGTAAGTTTTTTAGCATTTTTTTTTTTTTTTTACACTGTGTTATTAGAATTTTAATTAAAAATATGTAATTAGAAATTCAAATCATTTTTTAATGAAGGTTGATTTTTATTTATAGCAGTTAATTTAAATATGCAATTTAAATTTGTTTAATTTAATTAATTAAATATGTAATTAATTTAAATATGTAATTTAAATATGCATGAATTACACAGTGTTTAGATTTAAACTAATTTTTTTTGCTATATGAAATATGTGCATCAATATCTTTTTAAGAAATTGTTTTTCGAATTACAAAAAACTTAAAATTTGATTAATGAAAAACACTAAATAACAAAAATACTCAAAATATGTAGCTTAACTACGCAGTTAAAGAATTACCTAGTGAATAACAAATGAAATGAATAACGGCATCAAATAATTTAAGTTGTTACAAACAAGCTAATTTGAACTACATTAGTAATGTGCTAACTTCAGATGTAAATAAGAGTGTACAATAATAAATAACATAAGTTAATATTTTATAACGTTTTTTAGAATGAAAAAATTAAGTTTAAATATATAAAATACATAATGCATTTTGCAGTAAATATTCTTTAACGAAAATTTAATTAAAATAAAACTCTAATTAAAATAAAAAAGTAAATTATAAGTTAGTTGTTGCGATTAAGTATATAAATAATTAATAAAAGTTTTAATTTGACATTTAGTTTTAATAATAGTTAAAGCTTTGATATAGAAAAGCTAAGGTTTGAATTATTTACAGTTTTGATCGATTTTAAAAAAAAGTTAAATTTGTACAATTTTTAAATTGGAACTTCTAGGTAAGACACACTTTGGTTTAGAGAACTGTTAATTTCAGCTCTGATTTTTAATCAAACTAATAAATATAAAAATGATTCGATTTGCTTAAGAAAGTGCTAAAAATGTATTTTGTGTATCTTCTTAATGTTTATGTACAAGTAACCTTAAAGAGAAACAAAATCATTATCTTACATATTTTCTGAGTTTTTAATACTGCTAATATTAAACTTTTGTTTGAATTTTAAACATGAATTAAGGGGCTCTATTTAAAAATATTTTTAATCTATAAATTTCAAACTTTATTTTTGAGATTCTAAGTTCTAGACATAAAGTTTTTTTTTTTTTACTTTTTTCTTGGTAACTAAAATTATGGAAAAAAAATTTCTCAAAACTTGATTGTAAAGGTGATGTTAATAATGAGAATAAACAAAAAAAAAAAGGAGTAACTTTTATTAACTGGATTACATTGCATTTCTTGCTGTCTCCTAAAAATTACCAATTCTGTATGGGACAGTAAATCCTGGTTTATTTTTCTGCAATGGTGGTTTAAATTATTTTTTAACTTATATCTAAACACCAGTCAAGAAGGTTCATGTAGTGTACAAAATAAACCAATTCAATATTTTAGGCTAAAGATGAACGGAAAAGATTACAGCTGTTTAAGCTTCGTAACACTTGGAATCAGTACCTTCCTGGAAAAACACTTCATGACTTAGATATAAAAACAAACCGATTTGATCCGAATTGGCCTATTTGTGCCTCTACAGCAACAAATGTTCAAAACATAAATTTTACTAATACTCCACCTGCTGTTGTCACTCCTACTCCACAAAAAGTTATTCATGTTAATCCTAAGTTTCTGCAGGTACATATCTTGTAAACTGTTAATTACTTTAAAGCATATTTTTGAAATTACTCATAAAAAATAAAAACTCAAAATAGTGTACTTTTTTGCCTATAGAAAAAAGAAGAAAACCTAAACATTGCAGTGACTTTAGCAGCAACAATTGCTGGAGAACATGCTGACAAGGAACCTGGAAGCTTACCTAATAAAATTGCTAAGGAGATTTTGTTACAAAAAGAAAGACAGATTCAGGATAGATTGAAAAAGTTGCAGGTTTTTATCTTCTTGCTTTTTGAATGAGAAGTGCCAGTGTTAACAAAGTTTCGTTGTGGTATAAGTACTAGTAAATGTTTTAATATATAAATATAAGCGTTTTTAATTTCAAATTTCGATAATTTTTATAGACAGAAAAGCTGCTTCGAGAAAGACAACATCATGAAGAAACATTGCGGAAACAAACTTTGGAACGAGAACGAGTGCTAGCTGAACAAAAGAGAAAGCTTGAACTCCTTAAAAAACAACAGCAATCATTGGCTTCTCAGCCTAAAGTAGGTCTGCTTTTTCTGTTTTCAAATATTAGTGCTGTCCTGTATTATAAACTAACATGTAATTTTTATTTAAATAAATGTTTTTGTTATTTTAAATCTCATAGTTTTTTTTTTTTTTAATTTAATTAAGGAAGTAATTTCACAGCCATCAAAAAGTAATGATTTGGGACAAAGTAGCTTTGTTAAAGACCCTCGATTAAGAAGTGATTCACAAAGTAAAGATGAAGCCAATTTGTCTTCTAACTTAAAAGCTGGATCAAATAAAAATCTTACTGGAAAATCAGCTGTAAATGTAATGAACAAAATAATGACTAGTCTGCAACCTAAAAATCTAAAATCTCAAACAAAAAAAACTGATAATGAGAAAGTCAGAGAAAATCATGTAACTAGTAAGCCTTCAAGCTCAGCTTCTAATTTTAATACTGCAATTTCATCTAAACCATGTTTTTCAAAAAAATCAAACAATGAAACAACAGCAAGTCAATCTGTTAGATTAGATTCTAAATCAAAAGTTGTTGAAGCAAAGACAAATACAACAGCTGCTTTGCCAAAAAATGTTGAAAACACACTAGCTGTATCAACAGAGCAAATGCCAAGTAACAGCTCCTCTAATACCTCTCATTCCCTTGTTCCGTTGCCTAACGCATTTGCTCAACTAAGTGATCGAGATATGCAAATAGCTGCACAGGCTGCTGCTATAGCTACTGCTATGCACCAAATGCAGTCATCTAAAAATGGCATTATTGATACAGGTCAATCAGCTAGTTTAGCAGCTACATTAATTCAATTGGTTCAATCAACTGCTCCTCCTATTAAACCTCCATGTGATTTATCCACACCGCCAAATGATTCTTCAAGTAGAGTAGAAAAAAAAGAAACTTCAAATAGTTATTCTTCGGATCAATCATTTGTAAATGAAACTGAAACTAAAAATAAAGAAGCATTTCTTGCTGGCAGAAATTATCATCAAAAAGGTGTAGATGATATTCAGAATAAGAATAGAAACGATGCTCCACAACTTCGCAACAAAACCCGACAAAATATGTCATCAGTAAAAGATGATTCAAATAGTTTACAATATGATAATAACAGGGAGCATTCAATCGCTCCTGGATTAAGAAATAAAGATTGGGGTAGGGAACAATATTATGACGAACCACCAAGTAAAAAATTGTGTGACGAGGTTGATAGATCAAGAAAAGCCAGAGCACGTTCACCTTCTCGTTATCATTTTCGTATGGAGAAAAAAATAGAAGTTGATAAGAAGTTAGATAACAAAGAACCATTTAGACAAAATGTTTACAAGAACAATAATGAAGTTCATACTTTTGACCACCATGAAGAAAGAATAAGAAAACCATATATTGATGAACAAAGTGATTTAGATGACATAGATCTTCTTGATGGCAATGAAAGGAATTTTGCACCTGCTGGTGCAAAACCTGAGCGTCTGACTCAAGAAGAGTGGATTGAGTTAAAAAAAGTTCGGAGAAAAGAGTTTAGAAACATTAAAGGCAAAATTTATGATACTGAAAGAGAAAATCCAGATACTTTTCCAATGGAAGTATATGATGACTTAAACAGAGAGGTAATGCTTTAATTCATTTGTGGAATTTATTTTTCTATACTTTAATCAAGTTTGTATTTTAGTTAAATGTTATTTTAGTTAAACTTTAATCAAGTTTGTATTTTAGTTAAATGTTATTATTTTTAATATTGTTATTTTTTCTATTTTAATAGTACTCCCATGTTAAAGTTTTTTTAATATGAGTTTCACTGTTACACAGAAATTACAAATCTTTTTTGTTTTAATATCATACTTTAAGTTAAAATTCAAAAAAGATGTTTATATATAGCTTGTCAGTTTTACTGACAAGCTATATATAAACATCTTTTTTTACCATTAAAGCGACGTTTTAAAAAACTAAATTATAACAATATTGTTATCTAGCATTTCAATTACTATAAGTTTATCTTTTTATTTATACATATTCATCAACCTACTGTTGAGGGGCACTATGGGTAGTCCAGACTACTTTTTTTAATGATTATGTTTTTAACAACTCTATAATAGTTTCTGGATTTATGTCTAATTGATAATGCAATAATAATTCACATATAAAATATTCTCTGTCCAAGATAAGTTTGGCAAAAATCAATTTACATTTTGATATTTGCACACATTTTACGCATTTCAATAGAATTTTTAAATCAACATTTATCAGACACTTGTGTTTCACTTCATTTATTAAGCAAATAAAACGCATAAAGTTAATTATAATAAAAGACAGTTAAGTATGTTTTAAAATTTTAATCTTTTTTATTCAATGGTAATTTATGTCAGAAATGCAATATTCAGTTTACTAGATTGTGTATTTCAAAGTGAAATGGATGTCTCATTAAGAGGTCATTACTAGAAAAATTTCTTCTATAGTGCTGATTATCTCAATTTGATAAATCAAAAACAATTTTTTTCTAGCTTTTTTCGGAACATGCAAATTAATAAAGTAAATTTCTTCAAGAAATAATTAATTTTTCTAATAAATTATGACTAATGGTTATTTGAACTTAGCATGTCTTTTTTAAACATTTTAAAAAATCTTAAAACTCTTTCCAATAATTAAAAGTAATTTAGTGTACTTTTTGAGTTTAAATACCTTCTTTTTTTTTTTAGATTATTTTTAAATGTAAAGGTGGTTCAATATCAAATGAGCAAAGTGTTGCTCTGCAAGATATCTTAGATAAAGTTAGCAATGAAATGGCTAGAAAGAAGCAATATATAAGACCTAATCTTCATGTAGAACCTGAAAATGACCATCTTCATTGGAGATCTCATGAGGATTCTAGGCAATATGATAGATTTAGTCCTAACCTTCCTCCCTTCGAAAGGCATCCTGACATTAGACCTAATAGTCTTCGACCTTTTAGGCCTGCAATAAATGAAAGAAATGGACCATGGCAACCTCCAATTGAAGGTAGAATGCCACCATTTCGAGATGAACATCAATTTAGAGGAAGGATGCGAGCACAACATAACAGAGATCAGAGACCTCTGCATTTTCCAAGGCCCCATGGAATGGAGTGTAGGGGAAGGTTTAGTCAAAGGCCTCCAACTTATGATATTAATGGCGAAATTTCTAATCCTCGATCTCAACTAAATGATCATCATCCTCATATGGTTCATCCCAAGAGCTTTCATTCACGACCTCCAAATACTGGAAATATTCATGGTTCTGTTAGTCATCCAGAAAATAGACCTTTATTGGATTCACATTCTCCACCACACCAGACACATTCAACTGCTCTCAGTTTATGGCATGAAACACTTCCTGGTGAACACTTCCCAAATTTACCTCCCAATCACTTTTCGAGTTCTGTACACAACTTTCATGACAAAGATTTTAATAGATCTCTTTTTTATGGTAATAATTATAATTAGAATCTTGTTTTTAATGTAATCTTAAAAATATCAACTATTTTATTTCAGATGTTCATTTTTCAGACTCATCTGGACAAACTAGACAAGAACCACCTAATCAAGAGAAAACTGGTGTGGTAAATGTTCAGAATCTTTTAGGACAATTAATAGCTGCTGGAGTTCTAAATCAAGAGAAAACAACTTCTAAAGTAGACACGGATATACCAAATATTTCTCTAAAAATTGATGATTTGAAAAAGTAAAACTTGCATGCTTTCTTTCTAGATTTTTTTTGTAATTTATTACATTATATTAATAGTATTTAAATGTTTAATATGGTTTTTTAAGGCGTTATCAACCAGTTATTAACAACCTATTTCTTGGAGAGCAATGCTCTTCTTGTGGTGAACGTTTTCCTTGCAATGAACAAAATCTATATAGGGAACATCTCGATTGGCATTTTCGACAAAATAGAAAAGAGAAAGATGGTATTCGCAAAGTGTCATCTAGGGCGTGGTACTATGACTTGAATGTAAGTATTAAAATTAATGTTTATTTTAATTGCAAAATTGTGATTTTAATTTTTTGTTTGTTTTAATATTAGACTTGGGTGGAACATAGCGTCACTCAATTCGCTGTTGAAGATGGAAAAGGTGGTTTTTACTTTCATGTATCGTCTTTATTGATTAATTTGCAATATGCATTATACATATTCTCTAAATATCTTTGTTATAGCTCAAAGTGTATATTTTGAATCTGAACGCTCGGTCTGTGATGAAGTTAAAGATATAACTACTTCACTTAAAAGTGTAAAACAAACTGAGAAAGATTTAACAATAAGTGTTGCTGCTGATGACGAAGATCCAGTAATTTTGCTTAATATTTAATGTAACAATTATTTCCTTTTTCAAAACATTTCATTAGTTTAAATTTTTTGTTTTTATTTACATTCAGGTTTGTTACGTTTGTACAGAACCTCTGGAACAGTTTTGGTCTGAAGAGTTGGACGAATGGAGGTTTAAATTGGCTGTGAGAGAAAATAAAAGGGTGGGTTTTTTTTTATTAAACGATTATGCTATTTAAATATTTTTGAAACGTGTATTATCATTATGTTAATTTTTCACAAAATAGTTATATGAATATTTTTATATTAGTTGTATCATTATCACTGCTTTAAAGATTATGTACCTGTAAGTTTTTTAATTTTAACTCATTCTCAAACTATCTTTATATTTTTTGTTTGGTATTATTTAAAATGGTAAATTATTTATTCTAATTTTTAGTTTGAACTGGACGATTCGACACTAGCGCTTACTCCAACGACATCGATTTTACCATTTACTTTAAAAATCGAAAGTGGAGATTCCTTACCATTTAAAACTGAAAATACGCCGGAAGATGTTCTTGTTTCTGAAACTAATACAGGTTTAAAAATCGAAACGTTAGACGAACCAATGGATATCGATAGGATCGTTAAAAAAGACCCCAGTAATGAATGCAGAACGAGCGAATCGGATGTTTTATCGAATATTCATTTATTAATAAAATCTGAGCCTCTCGATGACTCAGTAAATATTGAAGAACGTTGTGAAAATTCTGTTCATAATATAAGCACAGATGCTTGTTTAGCGCCAGAAATAAATTTATGAGGTCGGTTCGGTTCCGTTGCAGGGCCTTGTACCGACCGCGTTTTGGTCTTTTTTATTAGCATGCGCGGCTACTGCTACTTGTTAAATAGTTATTTAATATGCACGTATTTTAGGATATGGCTATTTCTCGCTGTTGGTAGCACGTAACATTCACGCGATCGAAGGGTAGCTTGGTTGCATGATGTACGTGTTATTCAACGGGTGTTTCTTTTAATAAAAAAGTATATTAGAATTTAAAATAATTTTTTATTTTATATAAATTGTTTATGGGAAGAAAGAAAAAAATATGAGAATATAATTTTAAGTTATGAATTGTTTTTTTTTTTTTTTTTCCTTATCTGGATATTATGTCGATATAGAAATACAAAATTTTTACTCAATATTAAAAGATACTTTAGTCCTTCATTGATCAGAGGATCCATAATGCTGTTATCGCCCAAACTCAATGAAATATAGTTTTTTTGTGTCTGATTTTGTATTTATTTATTTGTTATACTTTTTGTAATAATAAAATATCATTCGGCAAATAAAGTCAATTTTTTACTTCTAATTTAAGCTTCAACTTTCGGTCGCTACCATGCCAAGCGTTTTGTAATGAGTCCATTTGTCTATGTTGAATCCCAGTTATGTCAAAGAATTATACCGCTTCGATGTGCGATAAAATAAAGATAAGTATTGGCCGCAGGCGCAGTCTTTTTAGTATTAGAGTTAAGTAACTTTCAGGTATGTTTTCCAATCCAAACTTTTGTATGTTGATGCTTATGCAATTTTAGCAAAAAGGGTTGATTAGAAAACGGGAACAAAAATACCCTCAAAAATAAGCTCCGCCTGCCGAAATGTGGGGAAGTTGCAGCGTACTTGCCACAAAAACAAAGGATTCGTGATTCGTATGTGGGCACGTTTTGCGATATTGCACAGTGTATATACATATACATTTGTCATTATTATTTGTGAATAGAGTTTCGAATGCTATTTTAAATGAAGAAATGTATTTATTGTTGCGGTTATATCATACACTGTGCATATAAAAAGGACTTTAGGAAAAACTTGAGGTTATTGGTAATTGGGATATCAAAAGCTGCATTGTCAATCTTTAAAAATATCCATAGAGGCTAAAAAGTGACTTCTTTGCAACACTTATCCTTTACTCAAATTCAACCTATTAAGTTGAATTTGAGTAAAGGATAAGTGTTGCAAAGAAGTCTTAATATTAGTTCAAAATTTTATAAATAAAATCCTGAGAAAATTATTAAACTGCTTAAGTAGTTAAACCAATTGCTTTATTCATTACATTATATGATATTATTATTTAAAGTAAAAAATTACACAACTTTATTTGATTTTCACTTTGTTATTGCATCTTTCAATCATACTGCAATACAGTTCAAATGCTAGAATGTTTTTAACAAATTTTTTGGTTATCAAAATAACCTCTATTGAATGTCTAATATTTATTTGATGGAGTTTAAAAACCCTTTTTAGATTTTTTTTTTTCCAAACAAATTTGTTCTTTTTAATATAGAATTGATTTTATGCAAGTTTACAACTCCTTTTTTATGCAAGTTTATAGCTCTTTTGAATAGGATGAGCGAACACAAAAACAAAGTGGTAAAAGATGGTCTAGAAAATTAATAGTAACTTCTTTAAACATCTTGGTCAAGTCAAAATAAAAACTATAAATTTTAGATAAAAAATCTTCAACCGCACTATAAGTAATTTTTATAACTTCTTTTTATTAACTTGAATGATAGCTTTGTATTATCTTTTAAAAATATGTACTTTGAAAGCTCATCCCTGATATATGGAAGGCAGCAAAGATCGTTTATAACAATAAGAATGTTTTTTAAAACAAAACTGATGAATCTCTTTGCAGAACACGTTGCAGCAATGATTGTTTGTAACAATAAGATTGTTTTTTTGAACAAAATTCATAAACTTATTTGTAGAACACGTTTGCTTAACATCGGTTTATGCATTTATTTGCTGTATCAAAGAGAAACTCTTTGAATGCTGCTTTGTTATGTAGCGTTTGAATTTATGCTCCGACTTACATTTAATCATACACTGGTGAAAGTAAATTTGGTTAAAACGTTTTTACTTCCAATTTTAACGAGAAAAGAACTGAAATCATTAATAAACTTGAGTTTACAAAAAAATATATCTGATTCTTGATCTAATATGAAGTAATCGAAGCACTGTTTATATGTTGAGTTCGCCATTTTTTAGATTTTTGTGCACTTATTGGTAGTCTGAGCACGATAAATAAACGATTTTCAACATAAATTCAAAGTTTTAAATTTTATTGTTTAAAAACAATAGAATCTTGCAAAAACGGCCCAACTGGCCGGACTATCTGATATTATGACTAAGGTTAGACATCTAGTTATATAATATATCATTGGTTGCTGCTGTTGTGAGATTAGTTTTGAACAAATTTAAACGAATAAAACTAATCGAGTTTTCGAGTAACTTTTTTTGAGTAACTTTTTACATTAAATTCGAATTACTGTAATTTGTTTTAGTGAATCGATTAGAATACGTTTTAATATTATTTATATATTCAAGTTTTTGGTTTGTTTCTTTTTTATATTATCATTTACCTGTTTTTTAAAAAACTTCACTCGAAAGCACATTAAAAAATTCTGACACTAGACGATATTCGAAATTAATATTAAAAGGCGAGAAATGTTATTCCGTGCGTTTTTACATAAAAAAAGTAGATATAAACAATGCGAAGCGGAAATAAGTGATAAGATAAATAAGTGATAAGATAAAAGATAAAATAAGATAAAGATAAATAAACAAATTAGTTATTAAAATATCTAATAATAACTTAGCAGTTTTTAAACATTTGTTTTTAAAACAAGAATAAAATATTTAAAAAAATACAGATTTTTCTCTAAAAATAAATTTGTAAATAATTTAAAATATTATCCCATGGCTTCATTGGAGTTAGATAAGTTCACCTTGAATGAGATAAAGTTATGGAGCCACCCAGCATTGGTAAAATTTCTCTTACTGAGAAACAAGAGCGTAGAGGGCTCAGATGAGGTTTTAGCTTCAAGGTATCTTAATACTTTATCAAAATAAATAGAGCATTATTAACATATTTTTATTAATTCTAACATAAGCAATATTTATATATTAAATATGTATATATATGTGGCGTAGTGGCGTAGGAAGAATTTCAAATGTTTGAAATAACCAAGTTATTTCAAACATTTGAAATTCTTAACGAAAGTTAACGAAAAGAATATTAAAAATTTTTTTTACTTCATATGTATGACGAAAAGATTCTTTAAAAAAAAATTACTGCGATAGAAGAATGGAAACAAGAAACCCTAAAATCTTAGCCCCCTCTGCTCCAAACGTGAGAGCAACAAGCTGATGAAATATTTTTTGTACTATTTTCAACTAGACTTATATTCATCGAGAAATTTTAAATTTCATTGTAAAATTTTTCATTGTTCAAAAATTATGACCATATAAATTTTAAACACCTATAATTATGACCTATATATTTTTAAGAAATTTGAATCCAAATTAGAAGTAAGAAAAAAACGTTAAGCAGATTACTAAGCAAATTATTTTTCTTGGAATCCTGTTAAAAAGAAGGAATGTCCAGAGAAAGATCTAAAAAACATCTAGAAAAATTGAAAACCAATCCTAATAAAAAAGCAGCGATTTTCTGCTAAAGCAAAACTAAGAGTTAAAAAAAAAAGAAGATTAAAAAGAAAGAAAAGAATCGCGCTCTAAAAAGAAAACTTAAAAATCAATCTCAAAGACTGAGTTCATCTTTTAAAAGCATTTAACAAAGAGAAAAAGCATTGAAAAAAAAGCCCTACCAAATTTAAAGAAAAAACGAGCTGAAATTCTTTCCATTCTTATAAACAGCTTGTAAAGAAAATCCGGGTCTACCTCCAGCATGTTTAAAGCTATATGTTCTTTCTGAATGTGTTGCTTTAGCAGTGGTAAATTTTTATAATGAAGATGAAGTTCCCAAATATCACCGAACAAAAAAGAACTCACTTGGATTTAATTATCTGACAGAAAAACTTATTATTTAAACAAAAAAAATATTCCGATGTGTCATTTATATTATACGCTAAAATGAAAAATTTTAGATCATATCTTGATCTAAAATTTTCCATTTTCTTCTTTTAAAGAATATTCAAAATATTTATTTAGTTGTAAATTCTTTTGCACAAATGCTTCTAATATTTGACATGGTTTTGACTTAGATTGATTTTGTGGCAGTGCAAAGGTCATTGGAAGTAAAAGGAAAGCCCCAACCACGATTGTCTAAACATGTTTAACAATAACATTTACTTCAAATTCATTTAAGTTTCATAACAATATTTACTTTAAATTCAGATACGGTGATGAAACCTCTTGTTACGTAGCCTTCGCACATTATTGTTTAAAGTTCCTTATTTTATATTGTATAAATTTGAAACTTTATTAATCAATAATTTTTTTCATTTCTAATGGCTTTGTGCAACATTTTATGCTCATAGGAAACATAGACTCAATTACTAGCTTTTCTTTTTGTAAATTCTAGTAATTTTTAAAATTTTTTTTAGCCTATTCTATTTTTATGAATTTAAATGCTTTGATCTATAATTTTTATGAATCCAAATACTAAGATCTATGAAAATATCTAAAGTATACCCAGCGGGCACACAAAGATTTTTTTTTTTTTTTTTTTTTTTCAACGCAAGCATTTAACAAGAGCGGACGCGATTTTACCACGAGGAGAATAAAAAAAAAAACAAAAAAAAAACATTTGGATTACTTTACATATAAAAAAATGTTCAAGCTTAATCTAAAAAAAACTATTTCTATTTTATAACGTATATTATACTATGGCAGTAACACTTTCTGAAATAAAAAAAATGTTAAAAGAAATGTTTAAATAATTCAAAAAAGAAACTGAAGAAATGTTTCGTAAACAAGAGAAAACTGTTATTGATATTATTGGCGCTAATATAAAAATAATTAACGACAGAATGGACAAAGCAAAATTAAACATCAACGTGAATGC